GCTGCTATCAAAAAATAGCCAGGCGTTGTGGCGGGCGCCTGTGGTCCCAGCTACTCCAGAGGCTGAGGCAAGAGAATCGCGTAAGCTCAGGAGTTGGAGGTTGCTGTGAGCTGTGTGACGCCACGGCACCCTACCGAGGGCAACAAAGTAAGACTCTGTCTCTATAAAAAAAATTTTTTTCTATCATTTAAAGTACTAATTTTCTGCTAAGATAAAAACTTGCCAGCATTTGGTATGTCTGATGAATTGAGATCACCCAAGCACCACTGAATGTTGCCAAAACTCCTCTCAAGTACCCTTTTTTTTTGAGACAGAGCCTCAAGCTGTCCCCCTGGGTGCAGTGCCGTGGCATCACAGCTCACAGCAACCTGCAACTCCTAGGCTCAAGCGAGTCTCCTGCCTCAGCCTCCCAAGTAGCTGGAACCACAGGCACCCACCACAACGCCCGGCTATTTTTTGGTTGTAGCCATCATTGTTGCTTTGGCGGGCCCGGGCTGGATTCGAACCCGCCACCTTAAGTGTATGTGGCTGGCGCCTTAGCCACTTGAGCCATGGGCGCCAAGCTAAGTACCCTTTTATTTACTTATTTAAAACTATTTCTCTAAATAGCAGTCATCTACTTTATAGTATAATACATTCTTGGAAGCTCCAAAATCAAACGTGGAAAATCAAACAGCAGACTTAAATTTTCAATCTTAACTAACTAAAAATGATTAGAAAGTCCCTTATCACATACTTCATTACATTTTGCCATATTATTTTATCTTCTTTTTTTTTGGAGACAGAGTCTCACTATGTCACCCTTGGTAAAGTGCTATGTATGGTGTCACAGCTCACAGCAACCTCAAACTCTTGGGCTGAAGAGATTCTCTTGCCTCAGCCTCTCAAGTAGCTGGGACTATAGGTACTTGCCACGATGCCCAAATATTTTTTTTGTTGAAGTTGTCATTGTTGCTTAGCGGGGTTTGAACTCGCCACTCTTGGTGCATGTGGCTGGCACTATAACCATTGTGCTACAAGCGCTGAGCCATATTTTTATCTTTAATGAAGAAAACAGAAAAACAGAAGCAAGGTGCTAATCATACTGTGAGAAGAACTAAGTGTCTCTGACTCAATGTTTAGGAGAAACCAAGATGGAAATGTAGTTGCACTCAGATGCTCAGCTGCTAGACACAAGCTGGTCAGCCATGGAGCCCGTTGAAAAAAAAATAACCCCACGTAGCTCGGCACCTGTGGTTCAAGCAGCTAAGGTACCAGCCACATATACCTGAGCTGGTGGGTTCGAATCCAGCCCAGGCCTGCCAAACAACAATGATGGCCCAAAAACAAAAAAAAATAGCCAGGCGTTATGATGGGTGCCTATAGTCACAGCTACTTGGGAGGCAGAGGCAGGCAAATCACTTGAGCCCAGGAATTGGAGGTTGCTGTGAGTTGTGATGCCACGGCACTCTACCCAGGGTGATGGCTTGAGGCTCTGTCTCAAGAATAAACAAATAAAGAACATTGCCAGGGGCAGCACCTGTGTCTCAAGGACTAGGGCACCGGCATTGGCCTGGGCCAAAAACTGCAAAAACAAACAAATAAACAAAAAAACTCATTCACATATGAAATGCTGAACACAAATGGTTGCACAAACAGCACAACTGAACAGAAGACGCTGTCAACACTGAGCTGTCAGGTCAACACATACTCCAAAGTCTGAATCCCAACACAAAGAAAGGCACTTTGCAACGGTCAAGAGTATTCACTAGGAAAGCAGAGGTTCTACCAGCCAATGCCACATTTACCCCAAAAGGCACAGTTAGAGCATGTCATTAGCTCTTTAATAAAAGCAGAATCAGGGCAGCGCCTATAGCTCAGTGAGTAGGGCGCTGGCCCCATATACTGAGAGTAGGGGTTTCAAACCCGACCCCAGCCAAACTGCAAGAAAAAAAATAGCCGGGTGTTGTGGCGGGCACCTATAGTCCCAGCTACTTGGGAGGTTGAGGCAAGAGAATCACCTAAGCCTAGGAGTTGGAGGTTGCTGTGAGCTATGACACCACTGCACTCTAGAGAGTGATAAAGTGAAACTCTGTCTCTCAAAAAAAAAAAAAATAGCAGAATCAACTTGTTCGGACTGATTTGTGGAGGAAGGAATAAAAGGCCTAGGCTGGAGGGAGAGGGTGCAATGAAACGAACCACTGAATCTTCTCATTTCTTTTAGAAAATTCCATTTTTATGCTCGGCGCCTGTGGCTCAAGTGGCTAAGGCGCCACACACATACACCTAAGGTGGCGGGTTCAAATCCAGCCCAGGCCCGCCAAACAACAATGATGGCTGCAACCAAAAAATAGCCAGGCGTTGTGGTGGGCACCTGTGGTCCCAGCTACTTGGGAGGCTGAGGCAGGAGACTTGCTTGAGCCCAGGGGTTGGAGGTTGCTGTGAGCTGTGATGCCAGAGCACTCTACCCAGGGGGATAGCTTGAGGCTCTGTCTCAAACAAAAAAAAAAAAGAAAATTCCATTTTTAGTTTTAGGGTTTTCAGATTTGCTTTGGCTGGCCTAAGACTTGTGGCATAGTGCTCTTAGTCTAGCCAAGAACAATGAAGAAAAATGCATAAATAAAGCTAGGGAGAGTTAGTGTTCCAGCCTCAGAGAGAGTACAGCATCAGATGTGCTGGGGGCCTGAAAACACGGTTTCAGAGGCACCGCTCAGCTGGAGAAGCACAAGACCGAGGACCAGCACAGAGCTGCACTGTTGCTATCTTGCAAACTCTCCAATAAAACGTCTGGCCAAACGTTAATTCTAAGTTTGAGCTCTATAAAACAGCCACACTAAAATGTTAGCCCTGAGGGATGAGAAAAACAAGCTGAGAAATGCACTTACTTATAGCTTCGAAAGTAAATCTTCCCATTCAGTGCAGTGAAGTGCAGAACGTACTCTAATCCAGCCAGGCGGATATTTGATACTGTGGGTCCTCTGAAAAAATCTGAAGAAATACATTAAGTCGTTAAAAAAAAAAAAAAAAAAGAGCTTTTAACGTTCAGTTAGAAAGAACTGAGCATTCCCAATGCTGTTTTATGCCAGTATCTAAAAAGGTAAGATAGGTAGCACAAGAAATGATCCCTGAAAAATGTCTGAAGGTCTCACCCCTCAACCACATCATCTCATGACTTTATTTCTGCCTTCACAGAAGAACAATATTTATCATGAATATTAACTTTAAAAAGTAAATGAGAGCATAAAATTTTAACCTACAAGAAAAGTGGGTACTGATGACAAATTTCTATAAAAATGGCTGTTTCTAGTCTATTAAATCAAAATTAATTTATCCATGTACTTATTTACTTAGCGTAAGAATTAGAGTGAGACTCTGTCGTCTAGACTGGAGTGCAGTGGTGTGACAGCTCAGTGCAGCCCTCAAATCCTGGGCTCAAGCAATCCTCCTGCCTCAGCCTCCCGAGCAGCTACACTACAGGTTCCAGCCCCAACACACCTCAAAAAAAATTGTTTTAGACATGGGGTCTTGCTATGTTGCTCAGGCTGGTCACAAATTCTGTCTTTATTATTTTTATTGTTGTTTTTGTTGTTTTTATGAGGGAAGCCAGCAAGAAAAAACTTTAAAAATAACCATTATATGAGCAAAGAACGACAAACTTTATAAATTGTCAAAGCCAAAAGGAACCCTGGGGGTGGCACCTATGGCTCAGTGGGTAGGGCACCGGCCCCATATACTGAGGGTGGCAGGTTTAAACCTGGCCCTGGCCAAACTGTAACAAAAAAATGGCCAGGCATTGTGGTGGTTGCCTGTAGTCCTAGCTACTTGGAAGGCTGAGGCCAGAGAGTCACCTAAGCCCAGGAGTTGGAGGTTGCTGTGAACTGTGATGCTATGGCACTCTACCAAGGGCAATAAAGTAAGACTCTGTCTCTTAAAAAAAAAAAAAAAAGAAAGATTAACTGAAATTAAAAAGAATGGTCTACTAAGTACTGGCAAGGAAACAAACCAACTGGAGTTCTCTTTTTTTTTTTTAAACTGAGAGTCTCACTATGTTGCCCTTGGTAGAGTGCCATGACATCACAGCTCACAGCAACCTCAAACTCTTGGGCTTAGAGATTCTCTTGCCTCAGCCTCCCAAGTAGCTGGGACTACAGGCCCCCTCCACACTGCCGGGCTATTTTTTGCTATTGTTGTCATTGTTGTGTAGCAGGCCCAGGCTGGGTTCAAACCCTCCAACCTCGGTATATGTGACTGGTGCTGTAACCACTGTGCTACAGGCACTGAGCCCAACTAGAGTTCTTATATACTGCTGATAGGGATACAAAATGGTATTGAGAACACCACCATTGTTCTTGTAGCTTCCTACAATGTAGCTTCCTACAATGTTAAATACACACCATTCAAATAACCATTCCATTCCTAGGTTTTGTATATAAATGTATACAGCAGCTCTATCTGTAACAGCCCAACCGTGGGATCAACCTAAATATCCATGAGATGAGCAAACAGATTTGGAACAGCTATGTGTGGAGTATTTCTCATAAAAAGAAATGAGCTATTGATACACAGCAACATGGATGAATCTCAAATTACAATGAGTGAAAAAAGCTAGGCCAAAAAAAGCACATACTCTGAAATTCTATTTATCTAAAATTGTACAAAATGCAAACTAATCTATGGTGACAGAAAGCAGATCAATGTTTGCTTTGGATGAAGAAATAGGATGGATTACGAAGGGGCAGGGAAATCTGAAGAGTGATGTAACAGTTCTGTATTTTGATTGCAGTAGTGTTTTCTTGGATTTCTAGCCTCCAAAACTATGAGAAAATACATTTTTGTGTGGTTCAAGCCACCCAGTCTTTAGTATTATGTTGTAGCAACGTGAGCAACTAACACAATTACCTTTTTAGGGCTATGGAGAGGATTAAATTTAATAAATCACCTGACCCAATTTACACTAGTTATTTTCATTAATATATATTTTTCAAATAGCGTAAGAATTAGGAAATTAGAAAGGTTAAAACAATAATTAAAACAATGACACTGATGTAGCTCTGACGGCCAGTATAAATAAAGGCAATGAAGTGACAGGGCAAGGCGGTTCATGCCTGTAATCCTAGCACTGTGGGAGACACAGGGGAGAGGACTGCTTGAGGCCAGGAGTTTGAGACCAGATCAAACAACATAGCAAGACCCAATCTCTATAAAAACTTAAAACAGCCACATTGGGGATTAGCCACGAATCTATGTAATATTTAAGAAAGCAAAATGGAAGCAAAACTTAAGATGAACAAAATGGGTATCCTGCCCGAAAATACTGACATTAAGAAAGTCCACTTTTCTTCTTGGTCAATTACTAAAATGAAAGGAACTTCCTAGAAGGAAGAAAGCCCTTGATAAATTTCTTCCCCTGCTGATCTATGATATTTCATATCCCAAGAGGCAGCTGCCTGTCTTCTTGTTTATGAAGTTGAAAGCCCAACTTTCCTTGGAGCCCTACAGTCTCATTCCTCTCTTCTGCCTTCTGCTTCTGTCCTGATTCCTTTTTTCACTCACTTTCCCTCATGGCTGCAGGATTCAGTCACTCCTGCCACCTAGTGGAAGCACGAGATAATGAGAAGGTGGGAGTGAGAAGGGCTGGGCACTATGGCTCACACCTACAGTGTTTCCCCCTAAATAAGACACTGTCTTCTATTTATTTTTTCTCAAGAAGACACACTAGGGCTTATTTTCAGGGGATGTCTTATTTTTATTAAGTATAATACAACAATCTTCATTTATTCAAATACAGTTAAGTCATCTTCTTCTGGAACCTGATGGGGGAGCCGACCTTGTTGGTGGGGCTGGTGCTACTGATGCGTGAACTCCTTTCCCCTAGCCGTTCACACGTGTGCAACAGGATGCCTGTGACCACGGTTACCACATGCACACCCGCGCAAGTGCCAACAGCTCAGAGAAGGAGCTGTGGCAGATGTATTCTAGTCTTTTTTACCGCTCCGTGCCCATCACTAGGTCTTATTATCCGGGTAGGGCTTATATTTAACAAATGCATAGAAATCCTGCTAAGGCTTATTTTGGGGGTAGGTTTTATTTTCAGGGAAACACAGTAAAACCCCAGCACTTTGGGAGGCCAAAGCAGGAGGATCATTTGAGGCCTAGGAGTTGGAAAGCAGGCAGAACAAGAGTGAGACTATCTTCATAAAAATACAGAAAAATTAGGCTGGGCACCAGTAGTTCAGTGGTTAGGGTGCCAGCCACATGCTTTGGGCTGGTGGGTTTGAACCCATCTGGGGCCTGCTGAACAACAACAAAAAAATAGCCAGGTGTTGTAGTGGGTACCTACAGTCCAACTACTAGGGAGGCTGAGTCAAGAGAATTGCTTAAGCTCAAGAATTTGAGGTTGCTGTGAACTATGACACCATAGCACTCTACTGAGGGTGACAAAGTAAGACTCTGTCTCAATTAAAAAAAAAAAATAGAAAAATTAGCCAGGCATCATAGCACATGCCTATAGTCCCAACTATTCAGGAGCCTCAGGGCCAGGAGGATCCCTTGAATATAGGAGTTTGGGGTTACTGTGAGCTATAATGATACCACCCACTGCACTTTAGTCTGGGTGACAGTGAGACCCCGGCTCAGGGGGAAAAAAACCCAAAACATTTAGCCTGGGCACAGTGCCTCATGTCCTAATCTCTGGACCTTGGGAGTCTTGAGGTGGGAGGAGTACTTGAGGCCGGGAGTTCAGCATCAGGCTGAGCAACATAGCAAGACACTGAGACCCTGTCCCCCCGCCCCGCCAAAAGAAGAAGGTTTTAAACAGCAGGGTACAGTGGCAAAGGCCAATAGTCTCAGATACTTGGAAGGCTGGGCCAGGAGGATCACTTGAGCCATGATCATGTCACTGTACTCCAGCCTGGATGACAGAGCTAGATGCTATCTTTCAGGGGAAACAACAACAACTGAACATTTTAAAAATAGGCAAACAAAGCCCTTCCTGTTTATCAAATTATCAAGCTCTCACTGACAATAATGACATACGGATCGTGGAAGAAAAGGCAAAAACTCTGGGCCAATGGAATACAAATAATAGAAATCTTAACTCAAAATCTGGATGAACTCTTGGCTGAAAAAAATACCCTTGATACTTTGGAGTATATAATATTGAAAGGAGGAAATACTGGTGATCGTCTCTCATGGATGAAGTTAATTCACAGAAAATATAGGTAAGAATCTATAAACAGAGTCTAGCAGGGAATGTGCTCACTGCAGGCAAGATGCACAGCAGAGGCAGAAAAGCTCAGGCTCTGAAGGCTCTGGGTTTCAATTCTGCCTCACCTGTCTAATCGTTCTTATATAACCTCTGTAAGCCTCTGTTTTCCCATTTGTAAAATGGGAATGCACCAAACTTGAGAGCTTTTGTGAAGATTAAACAGGTAATACTGGTTCTTAGTTTGAAAAAAAAAAAAA